ACAGAGAGAGAGAGACAGCAAGAGAGGGAACACAAGCAGGGGGAGGGTCAGAGGGAGAAGTAGGCTCCCCGCCAAGCAGGGAGCCTGATGCGGGGCTCGATCCCAGGACCCTGAGATCATGACCTGAGCTGAAGGCAGTTGCTTAACCAACTGAGCCACCCAGGCACCCCCTCTATTTTCAATTTTTTGAGGCATCTCCATACCGTTTTCCAGAGTGGCTGCACCAGTTTGCATGCCCACCAACAGTGTAGGAGGGTTCCCCTTTCTCCACATCCTCGCCAACATCTGTTGTTTCCTGAGTTGTTAATTTTAACCATTCTGACCAGTGTGAGGTGGTATCTCATTGTGGTTTTGATTTGTATTTCCCTGATGCCAAGTGATGTTGAGCATTTTTTCATGTGTCTTTTGGCCATTTAGATGTCTTCTTTGTAGAAATGTCTGTTCATGTCTTCTGCCCATTTCTTGATTGGATTATTTGTTCCTCGGGTGTTGAATTTGGTAAGTTCTTTATGGATTTTGGATACTAGCCCTTTATCTGATAGGTCATTTGCAAATGTCTTCTCCCATTCTGTTGGTTGTCTTTTGGTTTTGTTGACTGCCAAAGGAATTTTTATATGTAAAACAAGAATTACAGGATCCTGGAGGTCTGGCCGATGTTAAGCTAAGGTTGCCTTTTGCCTCTAGCCAAGTATTAACAAGGAGGCAGTTGAGTTCCTAGAGGAAGGTCACTCTGCCTGTCTCAAGGACTTGTCAATGGGCTGTAAGTAGTAAGGAAATTTAATTCTTTTTCTTTTGCCTTTGTTCCCCACATCACTACCACATCACCCAACTATTTTACTCCAAGTGTCTACCCAAGAGAAATGGACACATCTGTCCACACAGAGAACTTTCATGGGTGTGTTCATGACAGCATTTTTCATAAACGTCTAAATGTTCAACCTCAATGTCTATTAACTGATGATCGGATGGAAAAAATGTAGTATATTGCACGATGGACCGTTATTCAGCCACAAAAAGGAATGAAGTATTGATTAATGCTACAGCGTGAATGAACTTAAAAAACATTCTGCTAAGCGAAAGAAGCCAGTCACAAAGCCAAGCCATGTATCATATGGCTCCATCTATACGAAATGTCCAGAAAGGTCACATTTTTTGAGATAGAAAGTAAATTAGTGGTGGCCTGGGCTTGGGGCTCAGAACAGAGATGAATCGTAAATGTGCGTGAAGGGTCTTATTAGGGAGATGAAAATGTTCTAACACTTATTTATGGTGATGATTTCATCACTTGGTAAAATTACTTAAAATCATTGAATTCTATACTTGAAACAGGTGAATTTTATGATAGAAAATATACCTCAACAGAGCTATTAAAAAGGGGGGCTAGAGATGGCAAGGAGAAGGTGGGTATAGCTGTTCCCCAAATATGCACCCAACTGCCGGAGGCTTGGGAGAACTCCAGAAAGCCCTCTGGGTGCCCATGGGAGCTCTGGGGTTTCTCTACCCTGAGAGGACAAAGGACGCAGTGAATGAATGCCTTCAAATTGCTCCCATCCAAGGGATGCCTCTCGGCACTGTGGCTTTGCCCTTCTTCCTATCCAGATGTGGAGTTAGTTCTTCATCCCCTTGAGTCTTGGCTGGTCCTTGTGACTTGCTCTGGTTAATGGATATGGCCGAAGTGACGCTGTGCCATTTTAAGCCTAGGTCTTAAGAGACCTTGTAGCTTGCACCTTTGCTTTCTTGGACCCCTGCCCTGAGAATGCCTTCTGAGGGAGGTAGTCCAGCCTGGTGGAGCATGAGGGGCCACATGGGGGGAAGAGGGGGAATTGAGGTCCCCCAGCCAAGGTCACCAACCACCAGACATGTGAGGCCATCTTGGACCTTCCAGCCCTATTGATACAGATGATAAAGCCCAGTGAGTGAGCCCCGACCCCACCAGTGAAGAACCACCCAGCTGATCCAGAGAACTGTCACAAATAAAGGGCTGTTGTTTTATGCCATTAAGTTTTGGGATGCTTTCTTATGCAGCAATAGGCAACTGGGACACACACTTTGACTTTGCCTGTCCCGAAGCCATCTTTGTTGCGGTGACTTTGTGGACCCACCTCTCACACCTGAGTACCAGGCGGCATACCTTTGCCCTCACTCCATCCCATGACCTCCGGGGCTTGACCTAGACACCATTTCTCTCAGGGCAGTGGTTATAAACCTTGGCTATGCAGTAGAATCTTCGGGGAGGTAACTTTTTAAAATTATGAGGTATGTTACAGTCATTTATTATTGTGCAATAAATCATCCTAAACCTCAGTGGCTTAAGACAACAATAATTTACTTTGGTCATAAATCTGCAATTTGGGGAGGGCCTGGTGCTAACAGCTGGTTTCTGCTACATACAGTGTCAGTTGGGGTAGCTCAAAGGCTGGGAGCTGGGATCATCTGAAGCCTGGCACTCTTGCATGTCTGGTGGTTGAGGCTGGGAGTCAGCTGGGAACTGTTGGCCAGAACGTCTACATGTGGACATAACATAGTGGCTGGATTCTTAGAATGAGCTCCCCAAGAGAACAAGGCAGACGTACATGGAGTTTGGATGAGCTGGCCTCAGAAGTCATAGCGTCACTTCTGCCATACTGTGTTGGCTGAGATGGTCACAGAGGTCTGTCTGGGTTCAAGGGGGAAGGGCCTAGACCAACCACTGGATGGGAGGAGTACCGACATCACTCTGTAAGAACTTCCGGAAGGAAATCTATTGAGGTGGCTAGAGCTTTGGAAAATACAATCTGTTTCTGGTTCCTAAGCCCCACCCTGGAGAATCAACGCTGAAGGTCTGGAGTGAAGCCTTAGGACTGAAGTTTTTACATGTTCCCAGGTGATTCTGTTGTATAACCAGGACCAGGCAATGGCCCTTTGTCTAAGACCCATGGCCCCTCAATCCTGAACTCAGAGCTGTCCCCACAGGAGGTGCAGCAGAGATTGGCTGCGGCCCGGCATGGTAGTGTGACCAAGGACCCTTTGGAGGGAAACCAGCCTCAGGCCAGCAGGGGGACCCAAGGAGCCAGAGGCCTGCTCTTGTGCAGGGGAGGGGGTGTCCCTAACCGGCCCTTATTGATGGAGGGGGGTGTCCCTAACCGGCCCTTATTGATGGGACCTTTTGGGAGCTGGTGTATCCCAGTAGCCTTCTTCCAACCCTGTGTGTGTCTCACTGGCATTTCCTGGCTTATAGATGGTAGTCTCCAGGCTGCTGGTGGTACAGTACAATAGGGTGGCAAGGCATTTGGTGGGCAGAGTTTCAGTCCTTCTCCCCAGGGTGCTCACTGCCATTTGGTGATTTCCCCTCACAGCTGTTCTCCAGCTTCAGTTTGTTTAGACTGATTCAAGCTGAGGAATGTTGGAGGACTGCAGTTGGTGGGCAGTATTCTAGGAGGGGCTGCGGGTAGACTGGGAGGCAGGAGATGGGAGGAAGGGGACCTGGGTTTCAGCTCCAGCTCTGCTACAGTTTTGCTCTTTAGCCTTGGGTAGGTCATATCTCCCCTCAGAGCCTCAGTTTCCCCAACAGTCACATGTGGGGAGCCTCAGCTCCCATTCTCTTAAATGACCTGTGTGGAGTGGAGCTGCACTCCCTTAACAGAAAACCTAATGTGGCTCCCCATTGCCCACAGTCTTGGAGCCCTGCCTGCCCTCCACACCTGTGTACCAGGGGCCCTGCCCACCACTCCAGCCTCATCATCCCTTCCCTGAACTTGCCATGCACCTTCACCCCTCTGGGCTTTTGTATATGTTGTTCCCTCTGCCTGGAATACTTTCTCTTGCTTTCACTGCCTGGCAAACCCCAAAGTTTGGCTTTTATCACCTCCTCCATGAAGCCTGCTCCCTCCTGCTAGTTACCTCTGTGGTGTGTCCCTGCACCCTACCCCTTGGGTATTCTGTGATCTACATTGGGAGCAACAGCTAGCCTCCCAGCTGGGGGTGGGGCACGGATTGAGAGAGGAGTGTTTGCAGACCAGCCCAGGCTTTGGAGTCAGTCTGGATTTCAGTCCAGCGCTGCTGCGACTCACTCGCCTGTGTGACCTCAGGCAGGTCGCCCCACCAATCTAAGCCTCAGTTTCCCCATCACTGAGTTGGGGCTCATTATCACTAAACAGAATTCTCATGATTTTTTAAGGACATCAGCGACAGAAGCAGAGAGTCTATGTGAAAGAGGTTTGGGGTGGGGTAGAGTTATCAGAGTTTTCTGAGCTCGTTGCTTCCCTTGCCTTTATCGAAGAATGTGGAGGTATAGGGGGAGCCGAGACCCCTGTTCCCTGTAGTGTAGGGAAGGGCGAGGCGTATAATAGGTGCTCACGTTCAGAGTAGGAATTCCTTAAAGATTGAATGAATGAGTGGATGAATGAATGAGTGAATGAAACGAGGCAACTAGTTTCTGAATTTGGATACACCTTTTTGCCAGACCTTGTCTGTGCACCTGGTCCGGGACGGCGGCCGAGGCGGGAAGTCCCGCCCCTAGGAGCCCCGCCCCCGGAGGAGCCCCGCCCCGGGGCCGGAGCCCCGCCCGTCTCCTAGCAACTGTCAAACATAATAGCGCAGCGGCGTCCTCCTCCGGTGGGCAGATTGCGTCCTTGGAGCCTTCTCGCCTGGGGGCCGTGACGCTCAGGCTGCTAGCCAACGCCTTCCCTCGCAGGTACCGAAGGTCCCTCTCTACCTGCCGCTCCAGCTGGGCATCCCGTTCTAAACAAAACGTTAGCCCGGGTTCCTCCTCCATGGACCCTGAGCTTGTGCCCTGAACCCAGCACTCAGGGCCCATTCGTGCCTTGTCTCGCGGGGGGGGGGGGTTCTCGCTCTCTTTGACCTCACCAGACTCTTGCACGTGCTGTCCCCTCGCCCGGTTCGCCTGTCCCCACATTGCAAAGTCATCCTGGGCTTTGGCGCTGCCCTTACCCTGAGGCCTCCCCTAGTTGGAAGCACAGGGTTTTCTCCCAACTTTGCGGTTCTTGGGTAATTGCGCTTACCTGGAGCTGGCATTCCAGAGTGCCAATGATTGACTCGTGAAAGGAGGAGCAGCTGGGGCTGGGGGAGGATAGAGACTCAAGTTGGAGAAACGGGTTGCTTGTTATCATGATTACTGCAAGCCACCATTCTCTGTAGTTCATTGTTGAGTGCCTACTGCATGCCAGGCAGTGTCTGAGGCCTTGGCTGTTCAAACCAGGACGGGACAGGGGAAGGGAAGGAGGGGAAGGGTGGGTCATCCTGAAAGAAGCAGGGCTTACCTCTTGGGAACAGAGGCAGGTGACAGCAGCGCCTTTATTTTCTTGCAGCCAGGAGTGCCACGCCCGTGGGTGCTCTGCAGAATGTCGCTGCGTGCCTGGGAGTGGGAGGGTGAGGACAGGGTGAGCATGGGGCCCATGTCCTCCCTGGCCAGCTTTTACCAGTCTGGGAGTGAGTGTGATATGGAGGAGTACCTGAAGGTCAAAGCCCAAGCCCAGGAGTCAGACTCTGAGCACCCATGCAGCAGCGAGTCCTCATATGGGCCTGCCAGCACCTTCAACTCCGATGTGCCCCAGATTGTCCCCTGCAAATTCATCATCTCACTGGCCTTCCCAGTGAACACTGGTAAGTGCTGGAGCAGAATCCCAACACTCTCCGCAAAATGGGGTGCGCTAATGACCTTCTCCCAGAAGTTTGGGGCACCTGAGCTCCCTCCACTGGTTTCCCCAAGTGAGGTGGCCAGTGCCGGCAGCAGAGGTCAGGAAGGAAACTGCAATTTTAGGAAACTGCTACTGGGATACACCGGCTCCCAAAAGGTTCCCATCAATAAGGGCCGGTTAGGGACACTCCCCTAAGCTCTGCCCACCAAATGCCAAGCCACCCTATCGTACTGTACCACCAGCAGCCTGGAGACTACCGTCTACAAGCCAGGAAGTGCCAGGGAGACACACACAGGGTTGGAAGAAGGCTACTGGGATACACCAGCTCCCAAAAGGTCCCATCAATAAGGGCCGGTTAGGGACACCCCCCTCCATCAATAAGGGCCGGTTAGGGACACCCCCCTCCCCTGCACAAGAGCAGGCCTCTGGCTCCTTGGGTCCCCCTGCTGGCCTGAGGCTGGTTTCCCTCCAAAGGGTCCTTGGTCACACTACCATGCAGGGCAGTTTCCTTCTTTAAAATTTACAATTTTAGGCTCCAAAACTGCAAGGAAACCCCCACTGTGGGCCAAGCAAGGGAGTGATTAAATAGGCTTCACCTGCTTAATCCTCTCAACAACCCTAAAAAGCAGGTGGTATTATATCTGCTTTTTGTGGATGAGTAAATGAGAAAGAGGTTACAGCATGGGTTCTCATAATCTAGCTGTGCATCACCAAATTCCTTGTTTAAATTCTCAGATGTATTGAATGAAAATCTCTGAGTGTATAGGTATATCAATTACCTGTTGCCCCCCAAATTCTGTGTAACAAACCCAAACAGCTCCCCAAGTCAGGGGCTTCAAACTGGAATCCCTTGTTCTCCTGGATGAGCAGATCAGCGGCTCCAGGCTAGGGTCCCTGCGGTGGCTCTGCTCTGCTCCCCGTGTCCCTCATCCTCCTCCTGGACACGTGGGTCAGCCAGACACATTCTTGTTACAGAAAGGCAGAGACACATGAGAGGGCAAGCCCAGACAACGCAGAACTCTTCGAGTCTTTGGGCACCTCCCACCTGCTCACATTTTTTTGGCCAAAGGGAGTCACATGATTGAACCTCTAAGATTAGGGGCAGAGAAAAGAACTCCACTTTTGATATATATCTATTTTTGTCTACTTGCACTAACCCCCCTGAAGATTAATTTCAGCTTCTCCTTGTAGTTCTATCCATTCTTGCCTCAGATATTCTGGAGGCTCTTTGGTTAGATGTATATATACCATGTTTAGAATTAACCCGTCTTCTTGGTGACTTGAACTGTTTTTACCGCCAAGACCACGGGGAGGCAGGTGAAGCGCCACAGGTGAAAAATGTAAGGAGGTGCTCCCTCTCAGCATCATGCAGTGAATTTCTGCACCCTGTTACTCCACTGGCTAGGGGGCCTGGACCTGCATCTCAGCCCCAAGTGGGGCAGACAGCATGGGGGTGGGCGGCCTCCCACAGCATCAGGCTCTTTTTTGGTTCCAGGGAACTGTGGATACAGGTGTGCTTTCCCATGTGAGGTTCAAACAAGACTCATTAAATCCATGTCTTCTAGGTTATAAAGGAAAATATACAATTCTGATGGAAAAATATAGGAAACACCCTAAAATGGACAAACCTGCTGCAAAGGTTCGCCGTTACTACCACATTGAGTATTTCCTTCTGCCCGATGATGCGGAGCCTAAAAAAGTTGACATGGTGGTGTTTCCAATGGTAGCCAAAGTGTTCCTGGATTCAGGAGTAAAGGTGTGTGTGTGTGTGTGTGTGTGTGTGTGTGTGTGTGTGTGTGTGTGTACACCTCACATACAGTCTAATACTACAGAAAGTGTGCTTGCTTCCCTTGGAGCTTGCTACCAAAGGGGTGTGTGTGTATGTGTACATACACCTCACATACAGTCTAATACTACAGAAAGTGTGCTTGCTTCCCTTGGAGCTTGCTAGAAATGCAGGATATTGGGTTCCACCCCAGACCTACCAAATGAGAATCCACACTGACCTCATAATACCCATTACCAGACTATATATCTTTATCTAGTCATTTCTTTGGTGTTTCAAAAGTTTTTGCCACTCTTGTGATTTCCTTCTCTGTGTGAGTACTTGTGTGTGTCCATGTGTGTGCACACCTGCCTGCCCGCACACACACCCACCCTCCTGCCTGTGGCCTGACTCTGGGTCAGTGCTTGGAAGTTACTGGAAAGGGCACGATTGGCAGGTAATTGCTTTGACTCTGTCTTTTCCGATGAACCCAGACGTGTGACGGGGCCCCGGCCAGGACACCCATTTCCTGATGTGAGGTGGGGGCTGGGGGCGCGCCAGGCAGAGAAGGCAGACAGGTGGAGAGCAGCACCCTGGAGGATGAGGCTGGCGGGCGGAACCTCAGGCTGCTAAGCCTCCCAGGCCTGCACTTAGAGCCTCTTGGTGTTCTTTTACACAGACAGTGAGGCCGTGGCACGAAGGGGACAAAGTCTGGGTGTCATGGACCCAGACTTTTAACATCAACGTGACGAAGGAATTACTAAAGAAAATTAATTTTCACAAAATAACCTTGAAGGTCTGGGACACTAAGGACAAGGTTTCGAGAAAAGTCAGGTATTATCGGTTAAAGAATACTGGGTATTCGGAAGATACAGGATCTTTCGGTAAGTCATGTATTTGTGTTTTGTTTGAAACGTTTCTCGAGGCGTGTGACTTCTCACTGCTAACAGAATCAAAACCAGTGTCGCCTCCTTTACTTCATCTCACTTTCCCAGGGCGCATGTGGCTTTGGGTGTCAGTGGTGCGTCATCCCTCCAGGACAAGCTTGAGCATCAGGAAGTACTGCCCCCTGGAGTTGTGTCTGAGGGTGGGCAGTGTCTGTGTGCATGTGCATTGGTCACCACCTCTACCTCCATCACATTTCTGGACTTCCTGTCCCCAGGCAGCACCCACATGTGCATTCCCCACCGGCCTGTCTCCTGGCTGAGTACTGGGTGTTCACTGACAAAAAAACACCAGGAAACAAGAGAAAACTTAAGAATCTCATGACCCTGAGACCACCATATGAGTCTTTTCATATAGACCCTCGAGATTCTTATTCTCACAAACGGGGATAGGGGCAGAGGGAGAGGGAGAAGCAGGTTCCCCACTGAGCAGGGAGCCCGACGCAGGGCTCTATCCCAGGACCCTGAGACCATGACCAGAGCTGAAGGCAGATGCCAACTGACTGAACCACCCAGGCGCCCCTGGGTAAATATTTTATCAATGCCAGAAAGTCTCCTTTTGAGCTCACCTCCAAGGAGAGAGCTAGTAGGACTGGAAAGATCCAGGCTTTGAAGTCAGCCACCTCAATTCAAACTGTCTCCCGTCTTGAACTAGCCAATGACCTTGGGCACCTTCCCACTTCCTCTGCTTATATGCCCCGAGGCAGGGTGATGGGAGTGCACCGCCCCCCCCAGCAATAAAGAGAGTGTGTGTTGTCTATATTTAAAAACTAAAATGCTGCCAATTAAACTATGCTGTGGGGTTAATTGTAAGATGCATCCAGTTTTTTGAGACGTCAAAATGTCATGGGGATGTGCATCCGAGAATGGAAGGAGTATGTACTATTATCACTGTTGTTGGTGGCTCCAGATAAGTATAGTTACCCCCATTTTACAGTGAGCAAAGGAGACTGACCACCTGCTTCAAGTGTGTGACAGCGCCAGAATCAGAACCCATTTTTTGGTGACTAGAAACCCTCTGCCTTCTCTGGCTTTCTAGCCTGCCTTCTTGGGGAGCCTTTCTGGCACCGGGGACTTGGCACTTCTGACTGTTCATCTTTCACTTACATCTGGGGTTTCTTAACCTAGGTGCTGTTGGCATTTTGGATCAGATCATTTCTTTTTGTGGGAGCTGTCCTGGGCACTGTAGGATGCTCAGCAGCATCCATGACCTCCACCTGCTGGATGCCTGTAGTAGCCTCCCAGTTGTGACAACCAAAATTTTCTTCAGACATTGCCAAAGGTCTCTTGGGGAGGGGAGCAGAATCACCCCTGGCTGAGAATCATTGGTTTATATCTAAACTACTCATTGTAGGGTTTCTGTGTGAGAAAATGGGATTCAAGATGACTTTTCTTGCTTGGACCAAATGAAAGACCCACATCTTCAAAGCATGGGGTTCAAAACCACCTGCGTTAGATGCATTTGGAGGGCTGCCCAAATGCAGATTCCAGGGCCTGCCCCAGAGCTGTTGAGCCAGAATTTCTGGTAAACATCTGCCCTGAAGTGAGCTCACATTGGAGCAGGGGTGCTGGGGCAGGTGTAGCAGGAAGGATTCCTGGAGAAGGGGCCATGGGAGGCAAGTGTGGAAGGGTAAATGGGGTCAGCTGGCCAGAAAAGGGAGGAGGAAGGGTGTTCTAGACCCTGCAGGGAGGGCCATGGGCCTTTGTGAGTGTTCTTGAAATGATAGCACTTGCCCCTCCCCAAGCCCCATCTCACGCCTGACATCTCTGCCTCTTATGTTAAATCATTTCTTTCCATAAGCAGTGTATGTTCACTATGTAAAACAATTTAGAAATTAACTAGCATATGGGCACCTGGGTGGCTCAGTCGGTTGGGTGTCCAACTCGTGATTTCTGCTCAGGTCGGGATCTTGGAGTCGTGGGATGATGGTCTCAGTTGGGGAGTTGGCTTTTCTCCCTCTGCCCCTCCCCACGCACGTTCTCTCTCTCCTGAAATAAATAATCTAAAAAAAAATTGACTAGGACAAGGGAGAAAGAAATAAGATCACATGATGCTTGACCAGAGGTAGTCATTGCTATCATTTCCCTGTGCATTTTATATGTAAGTAGAAAGAATATTTTAATGAAAATGCATCTGGTGTACATGTTGTCTTAAGTCCTGCCTTTTTTCACCTTAAAAGCTATCTTCTTGAAACTCTTGTCTGTGGGAGGGCAGAAACAGCATGAGAGGTTTGGCTCATGTTCCAAAGAGGATGGGAAATGTATTTGGGTGAACCATAGGTCCCATGCCCAGAACTGGTTAGTTTTCAGCCTGCTGGTCTTGAATGGAACATCCCATCAAAAGTCAGCATTTTTCCTCTATTAAATCTGCTCGGCTTCTTGGTTTCTCAGTTACTGGACAAAGACTGCACCATTCATGAAGCCCTAAGTCATATGTGACCCCGGCTATGCCCTTAGCTCTTGGCCATCACTCCACCCAACACCTGGTTAGTGTCCCTGCCTGTGTGGTGTCCTTTGGGACTCTCTGCCCCTCAGCTGGCTCTTCCCTCTGCATCCAGGTCTCTTCCCCATCTCCTCTCTCCTACCACTGTTCCCTGACTGGTCTATAGCTCTGCTTTGATCTTGGCACTTCATTGCTCTGAACCTTTTTTTTTTTTTTAAAGATTTTATTTATTTATTAGAGAGAGAGAGAGAGAGAGAGAGCATGAGAGGGGGGAGGGTCAGAGGGAGAAGCAGACTCCCCGCTGAGCGGGGAGTCCGATCCCGGGACTCCAGGATCATGACCTGAGCCGAAGGCAGTCGCTCAACCAACTGAGCCACCCAGGCGCCCTGCTCTGAACCTTTTTATGGCTGCCCAGCGGCTTAGGGAACCAGGTCCATCTTCTGAGTCTGGTCTTGAAGGCATCCTCTAATTTGTTCCCCAAGCCTCTTTTCTTACTGCTATTCTCACCTTCACTCCTGGTCCCTGAAAACACTAGGGTTTTCCCCATTGTGAGACCTGCCTTCAGCTATGGGGCCGCACCTCGTGGGCCCTTAGCCTCATCTCTTTCTCCACAATTGGTACCTCTCCTTCAACGGTGAATCCAATTGCATCTCTTCTTTTCTTCACCTCTTTCTTGTAGCTTCCATTATCTGCTTTCATTATTCCTCACATGTTGGTTGCTGCCACAAGCATACAGAGTCCCGTATTGATAGAAGTGAAAGATAGAGGGCTCATCTCCCTAGCTGGCTGCAAGGAGCCCTGGGGGGTGGTTCTGGCTTAATAAGTACCAGCTCTCTGACCACAGGAAAGTTATGTGTCATACTCCCCATCTGTAAACTAGGGGAAGTGGGAGTGCCTTCCTTCAAGTGAAGTGCGATGATTAAATGGAAGGATGCATGTCAAGTACGTAATGGTCTTAATTTGGAAGAAGCCATTGCCAGTTGAGGTTTGGATTTCCTGATATTTTGAAGCAGTGCCTAGACAACTGCTCCTGGAGGGCAGGGGCCCTGCCTGTCTTATCCACCTGCTCCATCTACAGCACTAGGAGAGTGCCCTACACATAGAAGGTGTTTGGTAAACATTTCTGATTGAGTCAATGATTCTCCTACATTCTAGAGGAAGTGAAAAATTTGGTTTTAAATCAGAGAAGATTATCTGCACAGGCCCCACACATCAAAGAGGAGTGGAACCAGGAGGATGTGCAAGAAAAAGCAGAAAAAGCAGGAAAACACATCAAGTCTTTGCATGGTGAGTGGACGTGACTTTGTGGACAAGCTGGGGGAAGTCAGTGGCAGGGAAGGGGATAGATGGGTGTTGCTGGCATCGTGCATGGACACTGGGATCCTTTCTGTGTATCAGCAACTCCTGCTGGTGCCGGTTCACTCTAGAAGCCAGTGCTGTTTCAGTGCGGGAATCACTTTTTGTTGTTGATCCCTTTTTTTTGTTTAATTTTTATTTCATGATTTACAAAACTTTTCTAACTATAGAAGTTATATATGTGTTTTTTTTTTTTTTTTTTTAGAAAAGTCAGTGAATATAGAAAGTATAAAACAAGCGGGGAAATCGGTCTGTAGTTCTATCACCAGGAACAAGCATTGTAATTTTTTGGTTATCATGGCAAATTCCTTTGTTGTAAGATTTTTTTTTTTTACATAGATAGGGTTGTTCTGGATACATAATTTTGTATTCTGAGATTAACATGTCCCTACATGCACTTTCCTATTTACTTAAGAACTTTGCATAAACTCCATTTGTGGTGACTACACAAATTTTCATCTGCTGGTAGCACTGTAACATTCCCTGTAGGTGGGGATGTAAGGATCTTGGGAGTGTTACCAGTATCCTCTAAAGTAAACAGTGTTGAATTGGACAACTGAATAGATAATAGACTTTTTTTTTCCCTCTGTGGGATATTATATAAGAAATTGGAGGCTCCCTCTTGTCTCCATTTGTCCAAATAATCCTAATTAGTCTGTATATTCATTCATTTACTCGTTTATTATTAACCAGCCTTTTTTTTAAAGATTTTATTTATTTATTTGAGAGAGAGAATGAGATAGAGAGGGAGAGCATGAGAGGGGGGAGGGTCAGAGGGAGAAACAGGCTCCTCGCCGAGCAGGGAGCCCGATGCGGGACTCGATCCCGGGACTCCAGGATCATGACCTGAGCCAAAGGCAGTCACTTAACCAACTGAGCCACTCAGGCACCCCATATTAACCAGCCTCTTTATGCTCACCACACACCCATCCCTCTGCTTGGTGACTGCCATTACAAAATGGGTAAAGGGCCCTCATTTCTTAATGAACTAGAATGGAACAGGAAGTCCATTTGCTAATAAATATTATCAGATTCTCACCCAGCAGAGTCTGAAACTTTGCCCAAGATCTCCGAGGAATATGAAAAGATACCCAGAATGGAAGATCTTGCCACAGTTCGGTAAGGATGGACCCATGTTATTTTAGGGAGTGGGAGTGGAACCCCCTCTTGTACAAGCCATACAGAGTCACCAGGAGTCATGTGGATTTTTAGTAACTTAGAGCTCATGCAATCCAGGTGAAATTAAAGGAATAGAGAAAGGAATGCTGTGTTTATGAGTGCAAACATGCACTGTGCTTTTGCACTTGTTGGTTTATCTCAATCCTCATCATGGTCAGTCTGTGAGGTGGTATTACTATCTGTTTTCTTCACAACATAACAGAGTGGTTAGTGATTTGCTCAAAGTTTTAAAATTGGAATTCTTGGGAATCTTGGGAGTGTTGGTAAAGCCAGGACTCCAGCCCATATCTTCAGATCACTGAGTCCACAGCATTTCCTGCTGTGAGTGCAGTTACTCTTAGAGCCTAAGAAGGGTCTGGAGATTCCTTGGATGCTGTGGGGACCAGAGGTAGAATGGAGACCCAGCTGGTGGCTTGGGAGAATGGGATGGGGAGAACAAAGGGACTATGTCATTAAAAAATCTTGACTTTTAAAAAAATTTTTGTGTTGAATTTATGCACTAATTTGAGAAGAATTGTCATTTTTACATTGTGAGCCTCTCGCATCCATGATTATGGTATATCTTTTCATCTAATTCAGCTCCTTTATGATTTTTAATAGAGTTAATTTTTTTTTCTTCCTATAGATGTTGGATAATTCCTGTAAATGAACTCCTGCATATTTTAGAGTTTTGACTGCTTTCATAAAAATATATTATTTTCCATAATATTTCTAGTCAGTTAGAAATTGATAGTAAAAATGTGGTTTGCCGAGCAACAGCATTGGCATTACTGGGAACTTGTTAGAAATGTGGAACATCAGATCCACCCCAGCCTTACTGAACCATACCTGCATTTTATTTAACAGCATTTCCAGGTGATTCATATGCACATTGAAATTTAAGAAGCATTGGTTAGAGGAATGCAATGTCATTTTTAAAAAATCTGCTCACAGGACGCCCGAGTGGCACAAATCGGTTAAGCGTCTCCCTTCAGCTCAAGGCATGATCCCAGGGTCCTAGGATTGAGCCCCACATCAGGCTTCTTGCTCAGCGGGGAGTCTGCTTCTCCCTTTGCCTGTCACTCCCCCTGCTTGTGCTCTTTCTCTCTGACAAATAAATAAATAAAATCTAAAATAAATAAAAAATCTCACATTTGGTGCAGTAAATAGATTCTTAGATTTGGTCCCCGATTTTTTTCACCTTCATTTATTTTTCTCTCTGTGTATTTTCTAGATGGAGTATTTCAAGAGAAACAGCTCTTTCTTTGGGAGCAGCATCTGGGATGGAGATGAAGGAATTAGCTGAGAGATCATCATTTAACAGCTTAACAAACATGTTAGAAAAGCAAAAATTTCAAAGTAAGTTAGGATGGGATTTTGGAATTTTATAATATAACTAGACTCAGAAGAATTATGAAATATTTCAAATTCAGAATACTTCAGAAAGATTCTTTGGTATCTGGCCAAATGTTACTTGAAAGTAAAAGAACACTACATACACTTTCAGCTTACCCATTCTGTCTCGCCTCACCCAGCTGTTCCATCCCACCTCATCCCATTCACTTACCCGCATCATCCCACCCATCCGCACGACGTCCCTTCCCACTCCACCAGTGTTTCCGTGCTCCTGACTCACGATGTCGTGAACATGGGGGGCATGAAAATCCCTAATGTTGACTATAGACTTTCAAATAAATAACTACATTCCTATGTGATAGATGCTGTGGTAGGGTAGGTAGGTATGTTGGGGAAGCACAAAAGAGTCGGGTTTATGGAAAGACCCTCGGAAGATAAGAAGTTATTTGCTTCTCATGGTGGAAATAGCATCCCAGGTCGCAGGAACCACTCATGCAGAAGCTTGTAGTCTTAGGGACAGACCGAGAGGCAAGGGTCCTCAGAAGCCACTACATTGACCTCTTCATTCTTGACCTTGTTCTCCTCACCAGTTTTTCAGCAAGCAGTTAGGTTTCCAGTATGAGGTGGAATATTCTAGAGCCCTTGCACTTGCTGCCTCCTGGGATGGTCCAGTTCCTGTTTGTACAGCTGTAACTGCTACAAATCATTTCCTTAACTCTCTATCAGTTAATCTGCTTTTCCTGGTTTGAGTTCAACACTCCAAAGCTGCAGAGAGAAATGACTGCTTGAGGCGGGCTCTCTGCCAGGCGTCGGAAACATAGTTGCTCACATTCCTTTTTTAAGGCCCTAAAAGACTAGTCCACACTTTCATATCTGAACACCATCGACTTTTTCTGAGTTTTCTCTTTTCCAGATTAAATAGCCTCGCTTTTCAGAAATACTCTTTAAGCATTTTAATGAGATTTTCAAACCATCTTTTTTATTTTGAAAAAAAAAATAGAGTACACACAAAAAATAAACAGTGTATGTACAATTTAGGTGTTAATATTTTGCCACATTTCCTTCATTTCTTTCTTGCTCTGTCCTCTCCTTCCTTTCTTCCTTTCTTCCTTTGTTTCTTTCCCTCCTTCCGTCATCCCTCCCTCCCTCCATCCCTCTCATCCTCCCTTCTTTCTTTTTGAAAAGAAAAGCTTACATGGCGCCAGGGTGGCTCAGTTGGTTAAGCGACTGCCTTCGGCTCGGGTCATGATCCTGGAGTCCCAGGATCGAGTCCCACATCGGGCTCCCTGCTCAGCGGGGAATCTGCTTCTCCCTCTGACCCTCTTCCCTCTTGTGCTCTCTATCTCTCATTCTCTCTCTCTCTCTCTCAAATAAATAAAATTTTTAAAAAAAAAAAAAGAGAGAAGTTTACAGATACAGGGTGTCTCTTTTGCACACTGTGCTTTTAAGAAGCATACCCTAGGGGCGCCTGGGTGGCTCAGTCAGTTAAGCATCTGCCTTTGGTTCAGGTCAAGATCCCAGGGTCCTGGGATTGAGCCCCGAATCGGGCTCCCTGCTTAGACCAAAATCTGCTTCTTCCTCCCCCCTACTTGTGTTCTCTCTCTTTTTCTCTCAAATAAATAAATAAAATCTTAAAAGAAAAAAGCATACCCTATCCTACATAGAAATTGGTGTGACCCTTCCCTGCCATCCGTTCTTTCTGACACATTCATACGATGTCATGTTGATTTTTGTTTTTATGAGTTACAGAAATGATTTCATACTGTACATATCTTCCTGCAACTTGCTCTTTGCATTCAGCTTGATTTTTAAAGTTCATTTGTGTCCATATATGTAAGTCCAGCTCCTTGTAACATAGCCCCATCAGATGGCTATGCCATCCTTCACCCGTGGACTCCCCACCGAGGGACATTTGAGTTGTCTCCAATTTCCCACTGTCACCAACACTGTGATAGCAAGCATTCTTGTGCAGGTCTCTGTGTGCCTGTGCCAGAGAGTCTAGGGCATTTGCCCAGTGGGGTCATAGGGCATGCGAAATGTACCTTGACCCCTCAGGAGGTATTGCTGGTTTTTACTCTCTGGATTGTACCTCTTTGCCCTCCTGACAGAAGTCCTGAGAATTCCAGCTTTTCCACATTATCAGCCATGCTTGACATGGTCAGGGGCTTACTTCCTAATTCCTCATGGGGTTGATATCATCTCATATGCTTATTTGGTCACAGTCTTATCTGATTTACTTATTCCTGTTTCTTTGCTTATTTTTCTGTTGGGTCTTACGCTTTTTTTTATTTTATTTTTTTATTTTTTGAAAGATTTTACTTGTCAGAGAGAGAAACAGGGAGAGAGCGCAAGCAGGGGGACCGGCAGGCAGAGGGAGCCCTATGCGGAACTAGGTCCCAGGACCCCGGGATCATGACCTGAGCTGAAGGCAGATGCTTAACAGACTGAGCCACCCAGGCATTCCATTACACTTTTTTTTTTTCTACGATTTTATTTATTTGAGAGAGAAAGAGCATGAGTGGTGGAGAGGAACAGAGGGAGAGGGAGAAACAGACTCCCCACTGAGCAGGGAGCCTGAATTGGGGGCTTAGGCCTCGATTCCAGGATCCCAATATCATGACCTGAGCTGAAGGCAGATGCTTAACCGACTAAGCCACCCAGGCACCCCTGAGTTTTACATTTTTTCTTACTGATCCATAAGCTTTATTCTTTAAATCTTCTGGATAATTATCATGGTTACTTACATGCACTGCAAACATCACAGGCCAGGGTCTGTAACTTACCCTTTTACTTTATTTGTGCTGTCTTGTTTTGCATACCAGTTATGTAACTATTCCTTTCTAGTTTGTATTTTTGGTAATGTTTAAGAAATCCTCCTCATCCGGACATCAGTAGAGTCTCCTATACTTCAATTATTTTGAAGTTTTTTGTTTTGCACCATTAGTCTGCCTTCCGCTTTGCATATGGCACGAGGTGCCCAATAATTTCATTTGCCTCCAAATGGATAGTCAGTATAATTAATTGACTAGTCCATCCTTTCCCACTGATCTGAGATGCCTGATATCTGTTAAGTCCCCTTATACATACAGTGTATTTCTGGGCTTTCTATAGTCTGTTCCACTGGTCTTTGTATCACAGGACAAATAGTTCATGGCTTCAATTACGTTAAATATATATGTCTCCTCTTTCCCCCCCTGGATCTGAGCTCAGCACAGAGCTGAATATTTTATGTACCTTTGCTCATTTACTCTTCTCAACACCCTACAAGGAAGGTGCTATTGCCCCCATTCTACAGATGAAGTGATTGAGGCTCAGGATGGTTAAGGAGGGGAGAGACCTGGTTCTGGAACCTTGGTGGTACAACTCCAAAGCCCAAACCTCAGCCCTACACTGTGGTTAAGAGCTGACTTGGGGGAGAAATTTGGTATGTGGCGGTGCTGATCATCATCCAACCTCAGCCCCCTCTGCCTGTGTTCTCGGGTCGGACTGGGTGGGGGATCAGGACGGCCCTCACGTTCTTCCTGCATGTAACTGACAGTCGGTCTGCTCTCTACACATCGACACATTTTCTGGTTGCAGGGGAAGGGCGGCAGCACAAAGGACAACCTCTGCCTTCAAGGATTTTCCAGAATCTTGTATGTATGCATGTATGCTTTCACATATGGTAGCTTGGATATGAGCTCCTTTGAACGCTTATGTCCTTCCTTTGATTTCACAGTTAAACAGAAAGACTCAGAGGGGAGAAAGAAGAGCCAGAAGAAAAGGAAGAAGTCTCGAGCAGAAGAGGAAACTGACCTCAAGGTGGAAGGAAATTGGAAGCATGGTACCTTCTCCACTGAGCTGGTGGTGACGCCGCTCCTTGCAGGTGGCTACCCCTGGTCCCAACAGGTTCTGGTTGTCTTGTCCTATGTGGCTTGAATGTCCATAAACAGGATGCTCGCATTGACCAAGCCTCTGTTCTGCCACCGAGCTTCACATTCACAGTCACTTCAGCAAAAGTGCCGGTAAGCCTCTCTGTTGTACGGAGGAGGAGAAGGAGGCACAGGGAGCTCAGATGTATTGTTCCAGATCACACAGCAAGTAAGGGCGAGGCCAGGGTTTGAACTCCGGCCTGATTCCAAAGAAACCTGTGAGAATAGTTGTGCTGATTTTGTTTGCTAAATAAGATGCCGCTTTTTAGAAACCCCGTCCTACAGATTTTTACGAAAACATCTAGTAGAGGAAATGAGGGAAGGAGCCGGTATTTCTGTCCTGTCCTTTATTGCTCATGGCAAACCCTGAGCCTCCCAGTGAGCTTGGAGGGGGGCTGAGGGGCGCCTGTCCTATGTCCTGTGAGGAATCAAAACTCGGAGAAGGCAAAGCAACTCACTTGAGGTCACATAGCTCAGGGGCAGAACAGGGGTTTCATTCTCTTGCTTTGTAAGATCTATCACACTTTGGAAACTAGATTTTCTACGGTTTGACAAATAAGAAGGTATGCATGTTATATCCCTAGGTTTTGACAAGGGAAAGCTCAGAATGTATTTTGGGTAAAATTATATGACTTCATTTTTAAAATAGTAACATGGAGGGGAAACCCTCTTTCTTTTCAGAGAAAATCATTTCAAGCCTATTTCATTGTAGGCGGGTTTTTTTTTTGTTTTTTTTTTTTGCCATCAGGGTGAATGTGCGCCCTCTACTGGCCAATCTGCAGAAATCTAGGCTACGATCTTGAGCTGGAACGAGCCCTTGCAGCGGCTTGAGGTTTTACCCCATGAAAGTCAGCATCAAGTTCCACAGGTGCCAGGAAATTCGAATTCTCACAAGCTCTTGTGTTGATGTTGATACATTCTGAGGAAATACTATTAATTTTTTAGTTTTCACTTTCTTTTTTTTTCTTCAGGAATTTATTTATTTGACAGAGAGACACAGCGAGAGAGGGAACGAAAGCAGGGGGAGTGGGAGAGGGAGAAGCAGGCTTCCCGCGGAGCAGGGAGCCCGATGCGGGGCTCGATCCCAGGACCCTGAGATCATGACCTGAGCCAAAGGCAGATGCCTAACGACTGAGCCACCCAGGTGCCCCTAGTTTTCACTTTTAAATGGATTTTTGAAAACCCGCTCTCACCTAAAGTTGGGCCTTTCAGGCTGTCTTAACTTTCCCGCGGCATTGGAGTCTTTTCTAGAAAAATGAATTTTCAGAGACGCATACCCACTCTCAGGCTGTGCTCCAGGAGGACCCAGCCTCCGCACAGCGGTTGCACACTCCTGCTCGGGGCACACATCTCTGGGGAACACCTTGTGGGCTGAATCCCCAAGAGAAACCCGGGCCTGTAGGTGGGTGAGCTCCAGGTGATCCGCTGACTTTGGGTCGAGGTTGATTTTGCTGCTTAATTTTGCTGTGAGAGGAAGGAAAAGCTCAGATGGTCTCAACCATCTCGACGTGACTTTTTCCAGCAGGGTGAAGCCCAGAAGTGTCTGGGCTTCCCCTCTCTCTAACCTGCACTGTCACGGCCCTGTAAGGAGACAGTGATTCCAAGAGCACCAGTGACAAACAGACTTTGAATCTTGGCTCAGCCACTGCCCAGCAAGTTGCCCACGTTCTCCGGGTCTTTCGACTCCATGTCCTCATCTGTAGAAGAGGGGTGAGAATTTTCACCCCGGGGGGGCTGCAGGAAGGATCACATGAGATAATGTGTACAAACTTGTACACAGTAGGACTCAGAGAGGTTACTGGTGTGGAGGTGGCAGCTGCTTCTTCAGAACATTTGGGTGGGCTGGGTGCAGGGTGCTGGGCCTCTAGCAAGGAAGGTAGAAAAGTAAACCTCCTCCCTTACACCGATAGCATGGTTTAGGGTCCTAGGCTAAGAAGGGTCTTGGCTCGGCAGGCCAGCTGGATGTTTGTTTTTGCCATAGAATAACACATAAGATCATTCCCAAAACCAGCACGATAATTTTTGGTAATCATCTTCGATTTCAAATTAGGCCCTAGGCTTTGCATCCCCTAGTGGTGAATATTTGTTGGCCAGTAACCCATTAAGGGTTTCGAAAGACTCTGGAATGAACTCTTATTTTTTGTTGCGTAGTGGAGGGGCCAAGTGTCACCAGGCAGGCCTGGTTTGGACATGGGTCCCACCACTTATTGGCCGAGAGACCTTGGATGACTTCTGAACATTTCCGACTTCAGTTTCTCTGTCTACGAAGCAGAGATGGTAGCAGCCACACAGGGCTGTTTTGAGGATCAAATGACGTTAAGGCACGCTCAAGTCTGGCTGTTGGAGATGCACGCACCTTGTAGGGTCTGTTTCCGGGCGCCTTTTCTCTTACTCTGGAGCTGGGCTCCTCAGCCTGGGCACTTGTGCCCCTAGGGGGACATTGGGTCGTATGAGGAGGTAGTTTTGGTTGTCACGGGTGGGGGCAGAGGGATGCTGCTGTCCCATGATGCACAGGACAGTCCCCGCAGCCGAGAATCTCTGTCCTCAAGTGTCTGTGGTTTTGAGATTGTGAAACCCTACCCTGGAATTATGGCTGATGCCTCCCTAAATTTCTGAATGATGATTTGAGTGCACGTTTGCCCTGGAGATTTCTTCTAAATGGGGCAGTCTTTTCCATGAAAAGGTTTACAGAGTTCTAGAATACAAATGATGATTAGTTATGGCCTTAACGAGTGAGCTTTGTTGAAGAGAAAGTCGTGGGAGCCCTGGGGGCTGCCCCCAGGGGCTGCACGTGGTCCCATGCTCAGGCCCGTGCACTCAGCTGCACACCCCGGGCCTGTGACTTGTTTTGGAAGGGAAGCTCATTCTGAGCATGAGTGACTGGGCCTTCGTGTGCACTATAAATACATTTACAAGCCTTGTGAAAGGAGCAGAGCTGATCTTTTTGAGCACCTGCTATGTGCTGGGCAGTGTTCCCAGCAACTTCTCCTACTGTAAACCCTCTTAATCCTTTACCCTAAGCATGGTGGGATCTCTGCCCATTTTGCACAGGAGGAAATTAAGCCCCACAGAGCCTCTAACTTGTGGTAGGCCACGTGATTACTAAGATAAGAGAGCCAGGATATGAGCCTAGGCCTCTCTGTACAACTGGAGGATTTGTTCTTCCCCCCAGTCCCCACACCAATATGTCTCCACCTGGTAAAATGTATGGACCCCTTTCATGAGAAAAATATTCTCCCAGCTATGTGTGTGCCACGCAGTGGCCTCCATTCACCCACCCTTTTCCCTACTTGCGCTATTGCAACACCGTCCTAGCCGGAGGTGGGCCATGTTTGATTTGGCTCCGATTTACCAGTTCTGTTCGGTATCAGTACCTATGCTTTTCTCATTGGACCACACCTGTTAAAGCAGCACCACTGGCTGCCATAACAGAGACCCTGGCATTATGTGTTCTTGAATGTGTTCTGTTCTAAAGTAATTGCCTGGAGCAGCACTCTCCAAGAGAACTTTCTGCAGTGATGGAAATGTTCCAGATCTGTGCTGTCTGGTCCAGCAGCTCATAGCTACGCATGGCTATGGAGCATTTGAAATGTGACTCATGTGATGAAGGAACTGCATTTTAAATTGTATTTAATTTTATTTATTTATTTATAATTTTTTAAAATTTATTTGTCAGAGAGAGAGTACAAGCTGAGGAAGAAGCAGGCTCCCCACTGAGCAGGGAGTCTGATGCAGGACTCGATCCCAGGACCCTGGGATCCGAAGGCAGATGCTTAACCAACTGAGCCACACAGGCATCCCTAAATTGTATTTAATTTTAATTTAAATTTAAGTAGCCACAAATGGCCAGTAGTTACTATACTAGAACGGTGGTTCTGAATCACCTGGGGAGCTTTTATAATGTTTTTTAAAAAAGATTTTATTTATTTGTTTGAGAGAGAGTGAGAAAGCACAAGCTTGGGGGAGAGGCAGAGGCAGAGGGAAAGGGAGAAACAGACTTCCCACTGAGCAGGGAGGCCAACGTGGGACCCGATCCCAGTACTCTGGGATCATGACTTGAGCAGAAGGCAGACACCCAACCGACTAAGCCACCCAGGCATCTCACCTGGGGAGCTTTTAAAAACCCTAGCATGGGGATGCCTGGGTGGTTCAGTCGGTTGGGCGTCTACCTTTGGCTCAGGCCATGATCGGGCTCCTTGCTCTGCAGGGAGTCTGCTTCTCCCTCTGCCTGCCTCTCTCCCTGCTTGTGCTCTCTCTCTCTGACAAATAAATAAATAAAATCTTTAAAAAAAAAAAAAAACAAAAACCTTAGCATGGAGGCTACATCTCAGACCAAGTAAATCAGACTGCTTGAGGGTACCACCTAAGCATCGATATCCCTATAGATGATTCAGGAAATGCTTATATTACAAGATGATCATCAAGATTAAATCACAACAATTAAATTCTCTTAGGGAACTTAGGGGACCTCAGTTTGAGAAACTGGCATATAATATGCTGCCAGTAGGTGTTTGCCAATTCTTTTTTTTTTTTTTTAAGTTTTCTTCTTTTGGTTATAATTTAACATTGGCTTTTTTCAGGTTGCTTGAACCCTTTGTACTCGTGTTGGGCTGTCATGAGTAACGGTCTAATGCTGTGCGTATTTCCCTCCCCAACCCCCAGGATGGCAAACTGTTGTGAGTCGTGGCAGGGGGAAGTCTGCCAGCATTTTAGATTGTTTTTTGACTTTAAAAACAGAAGTTCCTATCATGACTGAGGAGCAAAAACAGGACTTAAATCCCCTGACCATAAAGATCAAGTGTGTTTCCTGCCTTCCATCACAACCTGTTCCCCTCCATGAACTAGAGGTAAGAATGAGCCAGAAAAACTGATTGGAGAGCTCTTTTTCCCATCCGGTTGCCCATTACATGTCATCTCTAAATCCCCCCCAGTGGCCTTCTGTGAGATGTATCATTATCCCCATTTCACCATTTAGGATCTCACAGCAAGACATGAGAGATTGGTTTCCTGGGTTTAGGAGCTACCAACTCTTGATGTCTCCCCACTACACCAAAGGTGTCCTTCAGATGCAGATAGTGATCCTCCCTTCAGAAGGAGCCCCCAGGCTTCATGGATACAGCAGCAATGCTCACATAGATGCTACTCATTTTGAACCAACTAGGTTTAGTACTGATGTTAATCCTGGGAGTTCCCTTTTTCCTATTGTAGTATCCTTATTTCCTGGATTCTGTCTTCCTCTTGCTTGTTTGCTCTCTGGTTTTGCTGGAACACATCTTGTAGCTTCTTGAGAAAAGGTTAATGAGAGATACTTGTTTTGAGGTCTCATGTGTCTGAAAATATCTTTAATTCTACCCTTACACTTGATTGATATTTTAGCTGGGTATAGAATTCTCATTTTCCTTCAGTTTTGAAGGCATTGTTCTATCCTCTTTTATGTTCCATATTGAACCTTTGTATTTGCTTTTTTTCTTCTCTCAAAGCTGTAGGATCTTCTTTTTGTTTTCTGAAACTGCTTGATTATGTGTCTTGGTGTGGGCATACCATATATTATACTTCCATTTTGAAATAAAAATTCAGAGGAAGTTGCAAAGGTAGAGAGATCCTATGTACACTTTGCACAGTTTTTTTCAGTAGTTATGTCTTATATAACAATAGTATAATATCAAAATCAGGTTATTGATAAATGTGTGTGTAGTTCTCTGCCATTTTATCACATGCATGGATTTATGTAACTGTCACTGTACTTAAGATACAGAACTATTCCACCACCACAAAGTTCTCTCATGCTACCCTTTTATAGTCACAACCACTACCTAACCTTGAACCATCCCTAACCACTAATATGTTTTCCATCTATATAATTTTGTCAATTTGAGAATGTTATTGTTGTGGGTTGAATTGTGTTCCCTCAAAAAGGTATGTTGAACACTTAACTGCCAGCAACTCAGAATGTGACTTTATTTAGAAAGTGGGTCTTTGCAGAGTTAATCAAGTTAAAATGAGGTCATCAGGATAGGCCCTAATCCAATATGACTGATGTCCTTATGAAAAAGGGAAATTTGGATGTAGAGACCGACATAGACAGAAGGAAGAATATATGAAGAGATGTAGGGAGAGTGCCATGTAGTGAGTAATTATGTTGTCACAAGCCAGGAAATGTCTGGGGCTACCAGAAGCTGGAAGAGGCAAGGAAGGATGCTCCCTTAGCAACTTCAGAGGGAGCATGGCCTTGCTGACACCATGATTTTGCACTTTTAGCCTCCAGAACTGTGAGACAATGAAATTCTGTTGTACTAAGCCACCCAGTTTGTGGTAATTTATTATGGCAGTCCTAGGAAATGAACAGTTGTATAAATGGAAACATCCAGTATGTGACCTTTTCAGATTGGCTCCCCTGCCCCATTCAGCATAATGCCCTTGCATTTAGCTGAGTCATTTTTTATTTACTTTTAATTGTTTTTAAGACCATTTACATTTAATGTAATTATTTTTTTTTTAAGATTTATTTATTTATTTTGAGAGAGTGAGAATGAGAGAGAGAGAGTACATGAGAGGTGGGAGGGTTAGAGGGAGAAGCAGGCTCCTCACTGAGCAGGGAGCCCGATGCGGGACTCAATCCCGGGACTCCAGGATCATGACCTGAGCCGAAGGTAGTCGCTTACCCAACTGAGCCACCCAGGCGCCCCATTTAGTGTAATTATTGATATTTTAGAGCTTAAGTCTGCCATTTCAATATTTTCTGTTTTCTCTGTTTTTTTTGTTTCTTTGTTTTCTTTTTCCTGCCTTCCTGTGGGTTATTTGAAAACTTTTTAGAATTTTATTTTGATTTATCTATATTATTTTTATTTTTGAATGTATAGGTTTTTAGTGGTTACTCCAGAAATTACATTGTGCATACATAACTTATCACAGTCTACTGGTGTCAACATCTTTCCAGTTTGAGTGAAGTATAGAAACCTTACCTTCCTTCAAATCTGTTTACCCTATCTCATTTATAATTGTCTTAAATATTTCCTCTATATAGACTGAGAACCACATCAGATGATGTTATACTTTTTGCTTCGACTGTCAACTGTAATTTAGAAAACTCAAGAGGAGAAGAAAAGTGTATTGTATTTACCTATACATTTGCTCTTTCTAATGTTCATTTTTTCTTTCTGATGTTCCAAGATTTTTCTTTTTCTTTTTAAATTATTTCTGTTTCAAGAACTTCCTTTAGTCATTCTTTTAGGGTAGATGTGCTGACAACAAATTCTCTTAGTTTTTCTTTGTCTGAGGACATCTTTATTTCTCCTCTATTCCTGAAGGCTAGCTTCATTTGATTTAGAATTTGGGGTTGACATTTCTTTTTATTCAGCATTTGAAAAAAGTTATGGCACTTCCTTTTGACCTCTATGGTTTTTTGATGAGAAATCAACTGTCATTTGAGTTGTTCTTTCCCAATACTCTGGGTAGCACTTACCTTTTGAAGCTTTCAAGTTTTTTTTCTCTGTCTCTGGTTTTCAGAAGTTTGTGATGTCTCAGTATAGATTTTTTTGGGGGTTTATCCTGTTGGGTTCACTCAGTTTTCTGAGACTTAGGCTTATGTCTTTTGACATAAAATCCCAAATTTGGGATATTTCAGCCATTCTTTTTAAAAAATATTGATTTTGAAGAAGGGGGGGCAGAGGAAGAGAAAGAGGGAGGGAAGCAGACTCCTCGCTGAGCATGGAGCCTGACGTAGGGCTTGATCACAGGACCCCAAGATCATGATCTGAGCCAAAATCAAGAGTCAGATACTTAACTGACTGAGCCACCCAGACATCCCAGCCATTATTTCTTTAAATACCTTTTAGCACTACCTTTTTTCTGCTCTCCTTCCGGGACTCCAATGTCATGACTATTAGTTCATTTATTATAGTCTCACAGGTCCCTGAAGTTTTGTTCATTTGTCTTTAGTCTGTTTTCCTCTGTGTTCTTCAGATTGGATAATTTATATTGTTTTATCTTAAGTTCACCAAGTCTTTTCTCTGTCCCTTGCATTCTGTTATTGAGCCCATCCACTGGGTGTTAAATTTTTAGTTATTGTATCTTTCAATTCTAAAATTTCCATTTGGTTCTTTATATCTTCTATTTCTTTGATAGGACTTTTAATTTTTTTCATTTGATTCAGTCATGTTCACACTTGCTTTAAAATTCCTGTCAGATAATTCCAAGATGTATCATTTTGGTGTTAGCATCTGTTGATTGTCATTTCTTGTTTAAGATGGGATTTCCCTGGATCTTGGTATGATAAATGATTTTTAAATTGTATCTTCGACATATTAAATATTAAGTTATGAGACTCTGGATCCTATTTAAATCTTCTGTTTTAAATATTCTGCCAGTGGAAGAAGGGGAATGCTGTCTTATGTCTATCAGGTGGAGGTGGCAGTCCAGGTTCCCCACTCAGCAACCATGCCCTAGGAGCAGGGATGCCTAGCTACTACATGCTTCCCACATGATCTTCACTAACCACCACAGTGGTGGGGAGTCCACATTACTGCTGGATGGTGGGGAAAGATTTTGGCTTCCACTCTGCCTCCCTCAATGCCTTGTTACTGCTGGGCAGGGATGAAAACCTTGACTCCCCACTTGATCTTTTCTCATGGCACTCAAGTGAGGGGAATTGTTACAGTCAGACAAGAGTGGAAATCTGGGTTTCCCATTTGACTTTTGCTTATGGGAGTGGGGTGGGCCTGGTTTTCTTCATGGTGCTTGCCTGGGGTAGGGCAGTTACTAGCCTAAAAGTTTTCTGGCTCGCTAAGCTGCCCCATTCTTGTTTCTTTGGCTGGAGAGAGAAGACTTTCGGATTTTTCCTACCTACTCCCATTAGCATTTCTGAATTTCTGTCTTCTCCAGCACCTAGTCTAGAATATGTGAGGCCAGTAGAAACCCCGGAGAACTCATCACTTGTTGTTCCTCAGGTCCCACAGTCCTTAACTTTCTTCTCTCCATCCTTCTGAGTCTCCTTATGTTTGTTTTACATATAAAGCCCCGAGTTTAAAGAATCTGTACTTAGCAGGAGAAATAGGAAAAAGTGTGTCTATTTCACTGTGGTCCAGAACAGGAATCCTGTGGGTATAGAGATATAGATATACATTTAAGATTTTTAAAAAGATTTTGTTTTTAAGTAATTTCTACACCTAATGTGGAGCTTGAACTTACAACCCCAAGATTAAGAGTTTCATGCTCCACCTGAGCCAGCCAGGTGCCCCTAGAGATAGATATTTTTTGTTTTTATTTTAATCACCTGGTGCTCATCATGTCACATGCACTCCTTAATTCCCATTACCTATTTCACCCATCTCCCTCACCTCCCCTTTAGGAACCATCAGTTTGTTCTTGGAAGTTAAGAGTGTTTCTTGCATTGTCTTTCTTTCTCTTTTTCCCTTTGCTCATTTGTTTTGTTTCTTAAATTCCACATATGAGTGAAATCATATAGTATTTATCTTTCTCTCACTGACTTATTTCGCTTAGCATTATATTCTCTAGTCCTATCCATGTTGTTGCAAATGGCAAGATTTCATTTTTTATGGCTGAATAATATTCCATTGTATATATATACCACATCTTCTTTACCCATCCATCTATCAGTGGACACTTGGGCTGCTTCCATAATTTGGCTATTGTAGATAATGCTGCTATAAACATCAGAGTGTGTGTATCCCTTTGAATTAGGTTTTTTTTTTTTTTTTTAATTCTTTGGATAATACCTAGTAGTGCGCTTGCTGGATCATAGGGTAGTTCTATTTTTAACTTTTTGAGGAAACTCTATGCTGTTTTTCAGAATGGCTGCACCAGTTTGCAAATTCTACCCACAGTGCAA